CACAGTAGATGTGTTTTCCACCGCTAGCTAACGTGTATAATGATGATGATGATTCTCCACATATATAGACAAGAATGCTGCTGAGGCGCATGTTAAAGGAGTGGGGGACGGCTCCGTTGAAGAAACGAGGCTCCCATCCATATGTCTCCAGTCTTATTCCTAAGGGTCTACATTGCATATAGGGTATGTGGATGGATGGAGCTGTGTGTCGTGCATCGCAAACTACCCTTGATCCCTCAGTAGGCGCACGCGTCCCGTGGCTGTCTTATGGAGGCTGTAGTGACAGGCAAATCTGGAATCGGATGCCGCCAACTATGTAGCTGTGTTGCTTGGAATTGCAATCATGCCGCTGTAATTGGACTGTGTTAGGTTGCGTCGCCAGTGTGAGAAAAAATCCACAAAATGTTCGAGGTGGATAGCTGACTAATGAACAAGAGGGCAATGATTTTAGTTAGCGGCAAGTCACATCCCCCAGTCGCTGTGCTGTTAAACAGAAATTTGTAGCATTTTGTGGGGAGAACGCTTAGCAGATGAAAACCCACCACATCCTGGAACATTGCTGGAACGAGGAAAACACGAACCACGCAGCTGGCACCACGGGAAGGCTGTTCGGCGACCCACAGGCTGAGAGTATGCGGTGTTGGTGGATCAATGCAACAGTGAATTCGGAAATTTCTCGCTGGACGGAAGGTCAACGGCTACTTAACTGGCTGGTATTCCTCTTCTAATGGTGTACTCCCAAGTCACGGTGCTAGAGCCTACACATCATAATCCACATAAACCATCTACCTCAGCTGCTTCGGTCGCCATGTGCCTTGTTGGCGGATAACCTGAAGATTGAGAGAGTGTTAATCACACCTGACGACGGCGACACTTCAGCAAGGCCTCAAGCATCTCTTCAGTTGGTACGCAGAAATCCGCTTCTCGGTCAACCCATTCAAATCTGTACCCATGAGGCTGGGTAAGGGTTGTGACGCCCAACGGATATATCCCACGCCTCCCGTGAAGAACCTATGTGTGTTTTAGCGCTGTGATTTGAATTTGTTAAACAACACGAACAGTCAATGTCATAAAGAACTGAACATGTTTTGGATGCTCAAATGCAGCTTCTGAGCTTGGTCTGAAAAGGTAGCCAATTGCCTCTTCTCTTCCAGCATAAAGCCAACAATGGAGTACGGATCGCCCGCCTACCGTCCAATCACCTGAGGCGAGGCACGGAATATCAAACGAGTCCAACCAATCGCCACGAGGCTCATTCCAAGTTTAAGAGAATTATCGTACGAAGATCGGTGAGAGAAACTAGGAATCTACATCGTGACCTATCGCCGGGTGCGAGTCGACCTCATCGTAACCTAAGGCAGATTACATATCCATGATTGCGGCCACTGCTTCACTTGCGAATGTCCCGAGGCCCACGCGGACACCGATAGAAGCTTGTGGAGTCGAAGATGACGCGAGTTCTCCAACGACTTGTGCTCTGGAGAGTGGAATATGTTTAGAACAGTCTGCCTGAACAAGCGGTGCATGCCAAATCCGTGAAACAGTTTAAAAAGTTGCTGGATTTAAATACATAAGAGCTACATAAGAACTTAAAGAACAATTGACCGGTGACAGATACTTCCCATAACATTTGATCCTGTTCCGAAGGAGCTGAACAGACTTAAATTTTTACTTGCTCCCACAATCCAGAATTCATATCAGGGGTTCTGCAGCGCCCGTGTTTACTAAACACGGAATCATTCTTCAGTCCAATCCCGTCAATACTTTAATCGCCCCGTTATTAGGTGCGCCACCGACTTAAGAATAATGGTTAAATTGGGTAGTTTGGTACAAGACGAGCAGCGCGCGACGCCAGATATTGTCGCTTCGAATCTTATGGAAAATGCATGTCCCCACACGATCGCGCAAGCGGAACAACGTAAGGCTCACACAATCGAATTCATGCCAGCGCACACAATGCAATCAATCTCCGTATTAACAAGAATTCAGCTTTTCCCACCAGCATCCGCAGTGAATGCACTTTCCTTCGCGGTTTCCGTGATCATAAACATCTATATTTCCGAAATGTGCAGCTCACACTCGCATTATACCAATCTTCCTACGAATCGCAGACTGCTCTATGTGAAGAAGCACATACGCCACCAATCTAGGTACAAAAGTGAGCCAGGGCAACGTTGTAGCCGCCCTCCGCTGGGTCAGTGAAAGCGTCTGCTGGGATAAACTCTACTCTCTTTCGGGATCGTGTAGACGCCTGTGGGAAGTCGGCGTCCGTACCAGTCTCTCGAATCAGCTCGCGCACAGAAATATTTAGCAACTATGTTTAACGGATCAAATGGATGGAATTATGACAAATACTTTTCCGGCGTGCATACAATACGCAAATCGTCCCTTTGTTTTGATTTAGAGAGTCGTTACAATCAGGCCGTTATAACATACAGAAAGCAACATTTCCTTGATCATCTAATTTAGGTTCTTCGCAGCCAGCTTCCAAATAAGATAGTCGTACACATGCCCGAAAAGCACTAGACTGCAGTTTCAGCCTGTTGGGCATCATGAATAGTGTGCATCCATCGGGATTCGAACCCGTGACCAAGAGCGGATTGAACCACCAGTCAGCAGCTTATGCCACTGGGCCACGGGGGACAGCTTCTGACCATCAGAATCGTTCATTCGAATGGTGAACACGACGAACACAAACGTCTTGCACTAAGCGCCCAGACATTCTTTCCAGGCTAAGTATCCGCCTTGCATGAGTGGAATATCACATATACAACGGACCACCTGAGCAAGCTTCTCCACTTGCAACTCTCAAATGGTGCTTCCAGTTCGGATTCGTTTACCTAACGTCAGCAGAAAACCCTCTGAAAAATCGTCTTTCGGTAGCTGCTGCCTCGAAAGTTCGTCGCGTTTGGGCGATGCGCAATCTTACAAGCTTCAGTTTTGCATCGTGCAGATGAAAGGACCTGTTCCCGATCCAACTCAGGCAGTCTTGAAAAGCCGCACTGCCCCATGGTGACTGGATGGGCAGTCGAATTTGACGAGCAACGCCTCCTTAACGGCGGCTACCGCCATCTTGACACGTCCTCTCCTTGCTGCCTCAAGGAGCGCCTTTGCACAACCCTGAGACTCTGCAAGCCAACATCATCTCCCGCTTGCCCTTCACTCCGAATGGTGCAGATAGTCCCTGAAATGTTCCAAGAATATTCGCTTCCAATCTCCATCAGACTAAAGGCTCTTCACATCTTTCTTTGGTAAGACACGGAACTAGAGCAAGAACTCTAGGTGCAAGGAGATGTTGAGTGCGGCAACGGTCACCAATCATCTGCAGTAGACCTTACGACCTTTGGCTCTACTCATCTATGAATATTTTCTGTATGTTGCGTGGTGCAGCCTTGTTCAGAGCTTTTTTCAAGCGCTTCAGTTTAATACAAATCCATTAGTTGCGTCTAGATGCGCTTACAGTTTTAAGGCGGTAGTTTGGTCCATTGGTGACCGGTCGCCGTCCGGTTTGCTCATTCTCCCATACTAATGCCTACTCTTTGGACCCAGCTCAGGCCGAAGCGGTAAAAAGTCACACCATCCGTAAGCGTGCGTTCAACAGCTTCACCAGTGGTGCCAGCGCCATTGGTTATATATCCGACTAATCGATATCGGTTGGAGCGATAAGTGGTGGGAGTGACCAGTTCCGTTCCGCTTACAAACTTTGATTGGTGCACTGAGTTGCGGTGAATCCGGTTGCCATTATACATGTCACTAAATCGGCAATTATAATGGCCATCATAATGATAACGAGTACAGTACGAAAAGAGAAATGAACAAGAATATAAATCATCAGTCGGAATAGCCAAAGGTACGAAATGAAAGAGTGAATGATGTAGAAGTGCCATTGGATGTGACCATGCCACAGTTGGTGACCACTGAGGTTGGAACAAGTTGGAAGAAGCCTCCGAAGAAACGGACCCGTAGGGTGACATCGCCGTCATAGTGTGCCACACTCAAGAGCACACAATTTTAGTGTTTCGAAAGCAATGATTCCGGTTGCATGCATCATAGATTCATGATCCCTAGTTGCGGAGATAGCGGCTAGGCAGAGCAGAAATGCGGGGCTAGTGTGTCAATTGACAGATATTGGTAAATATTCAGATGCAGGTAGGTCAGTATATTTTGGATGGGCATGCTAAATTCCCGAAAACGAACTAATCTACTGACAATTAATAAGTAAGCTGTATATTCAGTTTTTCGTTTGGTAAGCCGCAGTCACGAATGTAGTCGGCAACAAATTAAGATGTATTTATTCTCTGTTGCTAACGGTTTCTGTTTAACACGGTTAAGATACCAACTGAGCACCTTATTACTCTGTTTTACCGCGTTACATTAACCGCGTTTCATATCGCTTATCGTTTGAACGAGACTTGTGAATTTACCTCTGTCACGTTCGAAGTCTATGGAAATGCATAGTCTATAATTACGATTGCATAAGCACGGAAACAGTGACATTTATCCCACACACTGTTCGAGATTCTGCTGAACGGAACATGAGTGGTCCTTTGAATTAACTTGCTGTTTGTCTCTACCTCCGTAACAGTCATTATCACAAGCTGCCGGATGAAACATTCCTTGAGATCCAAGAGGATCACAGAGCTAGAGACACGTAAATGAAAGTGGGTGCAGAATGAAAGGCAATGGAGTGTCACCACGGAAACATATAACTCACGCTGGTATCAAAGTAGGGACCGGAGAACTTAATGAAGAGACAAAATACCGAAAGAATTATTTATAGTGATGTCTCGGTGTTTGCACAAGATGATTACGAAGGCATACATTGCCAGACGATCAAGCGAAGACAGATTGGCGTCAGATCGTTCAGCAGCGAAAACGAAGATATTTAAGTAGTGAATAGGCATTGTACATGCATCGGCGCTAGTTAGCTACATTGCAATACAACAGTTGTATCTCCGCGTTAACATACCGATATGCTGGCTACAAGAGCGATTGCTCACCTCTCATTATGGTTAGATAGTTCTTGTAATATTTCAGCCATGATATCTTCTGGAGGCATCTCTGTCGTTAAAAAGCAGAAACAGCATAGATAGTTATAAGAAAACAAAATAATTCACATACAACGGCCTCTCAAAAGTGGGCAAGGTGACGAGAGAGCAAAAGCCAAAACGAGCGTGCATGAAGCTCGCGGACAGCATGCTTTGGGTAACAAAAGGGGACACCGGTCGTTGCAGCAAGAAAATGACCCGATAGGGGATGTGTATGCCAAGCACATGACAATTGTGCATGCGAACAAGTTATTAGGCAAAGCGAAGTTGAACAGGGTGGCTTACCACGGATTTTTCTAAGGGTTTGGTAGCCAATCACAGGCTTTCTAAGTTTCGGGCCTACGGTGAGTGATGAGACCAAGAGTAGATTCTCTGAAGGCAGGAACAGTTAGCCAGGCAGTAAACACATGGTGTTATACAGTAATACAGTTACTACTCTAAACCCTATGACTAACTTGGATGATCGCAAGCAGGAATAGAACCCGGGAAAAGACACACAAGAGCACATACATGAGCGCGACACATGAGAAATGATTCAAGTTGATGGGGGGCGGAGGCGCCTTAAAACGGAAAAACAGACAACAAAGGAGAAAGAATCATTTGTAGTGCCGTGCAGACAGCTAAGGAAATGTAGTGGGCCCGCTTCAATAATGAGGTGTTATTTTAAGTAGTTTGTCGGAAAAAAGCACGCCTGTGGAGTTACTGGAGCCCGACAGGAGACAATAAACCGGCCAACATTGGGTTCAAAGATTGACAAGTGCAGCGACACAGCAATTGTTTGTTGATGGGTATTGAGACCATCAGATAACCAATGGGAAAATGGGAAGAAACCTCACATGGATGAGAACAGCTGATAGACAGATCAGATAACCGACTCAAAGGAAAGGGTAAAATAGGCAGTTAAAAAAGATAGACAAATGCACAGTGTAATGGGGCATTTGTCGGATAAGGCATGGTAATTCGAAAACTCAATCTGCGAGATTGGATTTAAGAGAGTAGAGCATTAATGCAGGGGAAATGCTATATTCCACTAACCGAAATGAATATCGAGAAAACTGAAGACTTACAGATGCGCCAAATAAAAATGTACACGAAAAAATTTCATTAATAGTGGCAATAATAAGGGACCAGTCAGTGGTGGACGGATCTTTAAGCTGGTCGGGTCGGTGAAACGACAATCGAAAAACGGGAACAGTTGGTACCGAAAAAATCATTTGTTGCAGTGGAATGCTCCTAGTATGCCAGCATCCAGTCATGAAACTTTTAGCAGCCGTAAGCAAATCCAACCAACTGATATATATATATATATATATATATATATATATATATATATATATATATATATATATAGCAACATTCGGCAGAGTGCTATAACGCATGATTAACAAAAACAAAAAGGAGGAAGAGTCAACGGAAGGGATGCGTAGGCAAATGTGTTGTGTGGGCACTGAGCTTCTAGGTTGCCCAGGCCAATGAAGGAATCAAGTACGTTGTCATATGAACAGGATAAGTATGACGGTATGTCCGACGGTGAGAAACAATAACGTCAAATCATATGAGGACTTAGGTGCTGTGCAAGCAGACTAAGTAGAAGTTGCCAGTGCTAGCGGTCACATGAATGGTGTAACGAGAAATGTCATGACAAAAGTGGGTTTCAAACTCACCATCTCCTTGATCGATGCCGGATATTCCAATCGGCTAGAAGAAAAAGAATCAGATCAAATAGGTCACGAGAAGATAGACTGATGATACAAAAATTCTCTGATTCTCGAGTTGGTTGACATCATACTTAAATGGGCGTTACCAGATAGTCACAGAGTAATCCCAACTCCTCCCCAAGTCCAATCACTAGTGGTGTCATCCAAGGGATTGTACTTTGTCCTCACTTTTTCTACTTTATGTAAACAATGTCACGGTGTTCATAAAACATGGCAGGCCATTTTTGTTCGCTGATGACATAAAAATTGTTTACAAATTTCGACGAGACGAACTCAACAGCGCAGTGCTGCTCATTCAAGATGACCTCGAATCACGTGAGAAATAGTGAAACACATGGATGCTAAATTTCGTAGCTAATAAATCATGTCACGCGGAAGCTTAATCCCTGAAGAGTCGGTTAAATTGAACAGTGAAGGTATATGTGTGAAACTATCCAACTGTGATCTAGGCATACGGTACTCTTCAAACTATACTTTCTCAGAGTAAGCTGAGTATCAAATAGCACGTGCCAAACGATCTGTGGCTAACATTTGTCCTAAAATTTATACAACCCCTGCTAAACTCGAGCTTTTCAAAATACTCACACTTCCTGTCCTTGAATACTGCAGCATCATCTATGGGAACATGCGTATGGATGACAAGAAAGCTTTGGAAAACCTGGAAAGATCATTCACTAAGCAATTGTTCAGTAACTCAACCACCTTGAGTCATCGGGAGCGCTGCCAGCAGCTTAAACTTGAACCCCTTTGATTGCGACGACTGAAACATAACCTGATGCTGATACACAATCTCATAAACCAAAAGACATACTCAAATCTGTGTACACTTAAATTCAACATAAGTTCACTCGGAATATACGCAACAAGAGCTGTACATTATGTGTGCCGAGAACCAGGACAGCTATCCGATCAAACTTCTTCCTCGTCAGATATGCTGTTGTGTGGAATAGGCTACCAGCCACAATCAGGTCTTGCACAAATGCAAGAGTATTCCACATTCAGTTTAGCAAATTCCTTGAATAGAACTCGATAATGACCATGTTTCCATCGGGTAAATCACCACACGAGTTCGTTCAGGATGGACCAAGGAATATATAATCAATGATGAAAGATGGTATAAAGAACTCAGGAACAACAAAAGTTATGTGATTCCAAATTATTTTGATATCATACACCACATATGACATATTTCGCTCATGCATGAGCATGATAATGCTTGTAGCCATGATCTGTCCACAATCCAGCTTCTCGTACAACCGGGAAATATACGCATTATTATCAGAGATACGTTTGAAGCCGCTCGAAGCCAGGCCACCATTGGCTGAGGGAACATAAAACTAGCGGGATTTTATGGCAAACCCCGCTGATGGCATTTCTGAGCCAGAGAGCAGTGCAGTTTCCCAGCCGTCCGAAGAGGAAGGAACAGCTACTCCGCCCCAATGCGCCTCTAAATGATGAGGCAGTGCTTGGTCTATCCAACAAACCGAAACGGCCCCCGGGGATTGGACAGAAATACATCCAAAAAATGATTGTCAGCCGGCCCCAAAGGGTCGACCTCCGTTGCTCTCAGCTGTTTGTATACCCAACCCGCAAGGCCTTCTCAGCTGAGCTTCGAGCATGTCAAACATCAATGTGTTGAGACCTTATCATGGCAACAGGACATGGTTGAAAGGCGTGGTAACCCAACCCGAGATCGCACTACCTGGTGTCACCCTTGCGCAACAACTGATCTGCCAAGGGAGGCAGTTAAATTCTTTACCACTTTCCGGACCTACACAACGACCAAGTAAAGGATTCAAGGGTTCAAACATTAAACACCTTATGGTGCCGTATACCCCTGAGTCAGAGCGATATATGCTTAGTGACCATGGTATGCCACTCACCATCGTTCACTTTTAAACTGGGACAGTTGCTGGCCTCCGTTCTGATGAGTATATTGGCACTATCTTACAGATATGTTCTCATGGTAGTGAAGTTCAATCTACACGCCCTAGAATAGCCGGCCACCCTCGGTGAACAATTCAAGGCGGAAATGCAATAGCTAATTATGGGTCCACCGATTTAAAATATCTCCCTTTTTAGCGCGTTTAAGGACAGGAAACAAACCGGCAATCTTGGATCTCGTTTTCACTAATGAGGAATTCATGATCGAGATAATAACAACGTGCACACTTTTGGGCCGCACCGCTCACGCGACACTAGTGTTCCATTACAAGTGCTACGCAGATTAGCCTAAAGCGCATGTCGAGGAATCTCACATCGTAAACAAATATGATGACCTATCCAAACTCATTCGTGCGACAAGCTGGTCTTTCTTAGCCGAATGTGTCCCCTTGACGTAGCCTGGGGAGAATTTGTCAACGGATTTAACAGGCTCGTGGCATCAGAAACCGAAACCCATAGCTCGAAATAGATTAAGTCGGATGCTGAGCGAATTGCTCTCCATATTTTAGCATCGTCCGCAAATATTTGCATCAGGGACAAAATGTTTCCTGGAAGGTCAATGATATAGATTAAAAACAGTAGCGGGCCGAGGACGGATCCTTTCAGTACATCACCGGAGACGCACAAGCTTTCGGATTGACTGTCTGCTACTCTTACCTTGATTTCCCTATAGTGTAATTAATCCACCAATCAGGTGAGCAAGGAACCTATGATACTGTAGGCAACGAGCTGTTGAAGGAAAACAGAGCGATTGTCTCTGTCGAATGGTTTAGAAAAATCTAACTAAATCACATCTATGGGGACTCCATCATCGTCATCACCACACGTGTTCTTCCAGGATGGACCAAGGAATATACAATCAATGATTAAAGATGGTACAAAAACTCCACAACCAACAAGGTTATGTGATTCTAAATTATTTTGATATACTAGACCACATAATACATATCTCACTCATGTATGAGCATGATAATTATTGTACCCATGATATGTCCACAATCCAGGGACAGCTTCTCATACAATCAGGAAATATAGGCATTATTAGCATTAGTATATAACGCGCAAATGAGAGTTGATAAAGGCTCTGGAATAATGATGATAAAAACATTGTGCGATGAGCATCCCCAAGCATTCAGTTGGCATAACGATGAAATATATATATATATATATATATATATATATATATATATATATATATATATAAACGGTCCCTTCAAATAAACGGTCGAATCGACAAGTGGACGAGGAAAGTATTCAATGGTAAAAGCACTAGGACAGATTTTCAGTTAAAATAGACAGTTACAGGTGCATATCCAAAAGATTGCACTACTATCGTGGACAGTCAGATTTCCATACATAGTTATTCCTCGGCACATGCAGTTCACTCTACCAGTGTTGATGTAAAAGAGCCAGAGATTGGGCACGCCGATTTGGGTATGGATCACCATCATCACTATCACCGCTATCAACATGGTCAGCACACTAGCCATGTAAACTGATGCAGCGCTGCCATACAGTCACAATGACCAGAAAAAGAGAGAACAATAAGTGGCAGAAAGTAAGACCTAGCTTAAAACCTTATTTTTCTAAACAAATACTTAGGGTCAGAGTGTCTAGAGCTTGTCAACATCATGCGGTCATAAACAGCTGGATATCATGTAAAGATAAGACGGCGTCGGCGAGACAGCTTATTTGCGGCCTTCACTGCCCCGCGTCATAACCAGCCATTATCCCGCAGGTAATACAGCATAAAACATAAATTAATCAGTCAATCCGACAAGGAGACGACAGCAAATGTGCCTTCGGTGCAGGCTGCATGCTATTTCCTGTAATGTCTTGAGCCAAGCATAAAGGTAGTCACGTGGACTCCAGCCTGGAAGGCGAGACGGACCAACGGCATCCAATTAGGTCGGCAATGAGTTCATTTCTCGTTGCTAAGTCAGCTTACGCCCGCTTCGAGCCTTGCGCCATCCTTCATCCTTTAAGCGAAACAAGGCTCTCCTCGGTATGCGATGATTAGGCATACGTGGTACGTGATCGGCAAGTGTGGAACTGAGGTTCAGTAATCGGCTCACGGTCGAATCAACGCAAATCAAAACGCGCCACGTCAACAGCAGATGACCGTATTCTGTACAACGTGTCGAATGGATCAATCAATAGGTGGCTGAGCGGCAGACGGACACACAAATGGTGAATGTGGATGGCCTAGTTCGCGCCCGTGCACATGAAGGCTGGTGCCAACCGACACGAACAAGGCAGTGCAGACAACGATGGTCAAAAGCTTGAAGGAGCTTTAGATCCCCAAATCTAAGGGACCAAGTTTCACTGCCATAGAGTAGGACAGCTAACTTAGTGGCGATAAGCTTACAGTCAACTCAATCGCCCAGCATCTGCTTGGTTACACCTTGTACGAAAACCCTTGTAACGCATTCAGAGTTATCAACAGGCAGAATACCCCGAGCTTACTTCGAGTTGCTGAAACTTGCAACATCTGGCGACTGAAGCCAAGAATATGCAAACAGTCCGACTTCGTCGCCAGACTCCTCTTGCCCTAGTAAAACATATTTCGTGCGCGACCTCGGTGTACTCTCACGCTGTGACCTAAAGTCCACTGACAACACGAATAGGCTGTACCAAAACAGCCTTCGGATGCTTTGGGCCCTCAGGCGCAGCTTCAGCACTTGGTCCGAAGAGATTGCTACTCGCCTCTTCGTCTCGATAATACGACCAATGCAGGAGTACGGCACTCCCACGTATTGTCCCATCAACCGGGGCGAAGTAGAAAAACTTGAGCGGGTGCGGCATGTAGCCACCAGGCTGATTCCCAACTTACGAGGTATGCCATACGAAGACCGATGTAAGAAACTAGGATTATTCACCCTATCTTATCGTCGGCTGAGAGTTGACCTCATCATGACGCACCGGATATTACATCTGAGTGATTACCCCATGTTGAGACAACTGCTTCATCTGCGCACACCAAACTGCACGCGAGGACATCGGTATAAACTTATCGTACCGGAGTTGAAGCGCGTC